TGTCCAAACCCTTGATTCGGCTCTTTAACTGAGGGTCTGCCTACCCCAACCCCAAGCTGACAAGGTTTCCCATGGAGTAGCAGCTGTCATATATACTGCACAGTGACAGACCCTGCCTGCAACAGGGTTCATGCCAGAAGCAGTGGGAGGACACCTCGTCGTTAGTAATTGGCCACTGAAGATCCACAATGGGCGGCAGAATGAAATGGTCAACCATGGGCCTTCCAGCCCAGATGTTATTTGTGGTGGAGGCGAGAAGGCAGCAGGAGACTGGTACATCACCACCTCAGCTAATTCAATGCCTCTCCCACCCTGAAGATGCCACCTCTGGGACCAGGACGTTCTGCCCACTATTTTGAAGCGCAGGGGAGCTCTTCTGAGCAAAACATTCAATAAACCATGAAATAAGGAGCAGAATTAGGCCATTCAGCCCATTGAGTCTGCTGCACCATTCAATCATGGCTGATATGTTTCACAACACCATTTTCCTGCCTTCTCCCATAACCCTTGCTTGCCTCACTAATCAAGAACCTATGTATCTCTGTCATAAATACACTCAATGACTTAGCCTCCGCAGCCCTCTATTGGCAATGTATTCCACAGATTCAACACTCTCTGGCTAAAGAAATTCCTCCTCATCTCAAGGGTTCTAAGTAGTCATCACTTCAGTCTGAGGCTGTGCCCCTGGGTCCTAGGTTCTCCTGCTAGTGGAAACATCTTCTCCATGTTCACTCTATCCAGGTCTCTCAGTATTCTGTAAGTTTCAATAAGATCCCTCCATATCCTTCTAAACTCCATCGAGTACAGACCCAGAGTCCTCAACTGTTCCTCATTTGACAATCTCTAGGATCATTCTTGTAAACCTAGTCTGAACCCCTCCAATGTCAGCACGTCCTTCCTTAGATAGGATTGTGGTTAGGTCCTCAGACCCTTAGATACGGGGTCCAGAGCTGCTCACAATACTCCAAATGCAGTTCAGCAGATCCTTATACAGACTCATCTTGCCTGCACTTGTATTCTAGACCTCTTGAAATGAATGCTAACATCACATTTACCTTCCTAACTGACAATTGAACCTGCATATTAACCTAAGAGCATTTTGAACTAAAACTCCAGAGTCCTTTTATGCTTCAGTTTTCCAAAACTTTTCCCCATTTAGAAAATAGTCTACACCTCTATTCTTCCTACCAAAATGCATAACCTCACACTTTTCCACATTGTATTCCATCTGCCAATTTCTAGCCCACTCGCCTAGCCTGTCCTTCTGCAGCCTCCCTGCATTCTCAACACTACCTGTCCCTCCACCTATCTTTGTGTCATTTGCAAACTTGGTAACATTGCCCTCAGTTCCTTAGTCCTGATCCTTAATGTACAACGTGAATAACTGTAGTCCCAACACTGATCCCTGTGGAACTCTACTAGTCACTGGCTACCATTCTGAAAAAGACCCCTTTATCCCCACTCTCTGCCTGTTTCCAGTCAGCCAATCCTCTGTCCGTGCCTGTACCTTTCCCCTAATACTATGGGCACTTATGTTATTTAGCAGCTCCTGGCTCAAAGGCCTGCTGGAAATCTAAATAGATCACATCCACTGGTTCTCCTTTGTCTAAGTTGCTCATTACCTCCTCAAAGAATTCCAACAGGTTTTTCAGGAATGACCTCCCCATGATGGAGCTGTGCTGACTCAGCCCTATTTTACCATGCCTGTCCTAGTACTTTGCAATCTCATGTGATGATACTATGGCTTTAAGAGGGTCTTTAAGAGGTTTTTTGCTAGGGTCTTGAGGCTGAATGTGGAAGCTCTTATTCCTCTCTCTATACAGCTAAAAGCTGGCGTTCTCTTCTTGCTGCTAGAATTGCATGTGTGACAATGTATTTTATTGAATTTGCCTTTGCCAAGGGTGTGTTAATGGGATGTTACTAAATTGGAACAGTTCATTAGTAGTAGTTAATACATATATTTTGTTAAGCATTTTGATAGAGTTACAGTTAAGCCAATTCTCTTATTTTTATTTTGTCTGTATTTTCAGTGAAATGTAAAAATAAAGTGTGTTTTGCTTAAAGTCGAATAGTTTGACCAATGAAATTGTATCTAGAATGCAATAACTTACCCTTAAAATAATAAAAAGGTAGGGTTTAGGCTATCTTCTTAATATATTTTGAGATGGTTTGGTACAGTCCATAACATTCATCCTTAATAATAAACTCTAAAATCTTACCAATGACTGAGGTCAGGCTAATTGGCCTATTGCATCCTGTCTTCAGCCTCCCTGTCTTCTTAATAAGGGGTGTTATATTAGCCACTTTCCAGTACTCTAGGACCCTCCCTGACTCCAGTGATTCCCGAAAGATCACCACCAATACCTCCACAATCTCCTCAGCTATCTCCTTCAGAAATGTTGTTCAGCCAGTCCAGGTGATTTATCCACCTTCAGACCTGTAGGCTCCCTCAGCACCTTCTCCAAAGTGATGGCCACTACACTCACCTCTGTCGTTGGCTCTCCAGTGTGCTGCTGACATCTTCAACTGTGAAAACTGATGCAAAGTACCTACTCAGTTCCTCTGTCATTTCCCCATTCCCCACTACTACATTTCCAGCCTCATTTTCTAGTGGTCCAATGTCCACCCTTGCCTCTCTCCCTTACCTTTTAGATATCTAAACAGCTCTTACAATCTTCTTTTATATCATCAGCTACCTACTTCGTATTTAATCTCCTCTGCCTTTATTGCTTTTTTAGATGTCCTCAATTCCTTAACACACATTACAAACTCCAGATTATTCCAAAGTGGGGGTGAGGACCCTATGTAAACTGAACTTTTGGAGTTGCGTGTTCAGAAACAGTAATGACTCCACACCGTCACTCCCACTTTCTCCTGCTCTTGTCGGTCTCCTCCTGCTCCCCCAGCATTCACTGGGTGGTCACCAGTTTTAAAATCCAAATGGGGTCACAGTGAAAAACAATTATCCAGGATAGAATTATTAGTCCCATGGAGAAATGTGGATTACTTAGGAAAAGACAGCATGGACACATTCAGGGAAAGCCATGTCTCAACTTGCTGGAATTTTTTAAAGGGATAGCTAGAAGGGATTGATGAGTGTAATGCTGTTGATGTAGTGTACATGGGCTTCCAAAAGGTGTCAATATGCAATTGCCATGTAAGAAAAGTTAGAGCTCTGGAGTAAGCAACTAATTGCAACATGGATACAACATTGGCTGAGGAATGGGAAATGGGGAGTAATTTTTCATGGGTATTGCTGGTTTGTAGTGAAATTCTTCAGAGTTTGGTCTTTGGGGTGGGCAGACAGGTGGCAGATGAAGTTGAACGCAGAAAATTACAAGGTGATACCTCCTGGTGCAAAGAATACGGGAAGACTATATAATAAAGGGTATTATTTCCAAACAGTGTGCAGAGGGCGGATACAGCTGGGTGTATTGGTACATAAGTCAGTAAAGGTGGCAGGATAGATAGAGCTGTTAATAAAACATACAGTATTTTCACAGAATCCCTACAGTGTGGAAATATGCCATTCGGCCCAACTAGTCTACACTGACTCTCCAAAGAGCATCCCACCCTGACTCATTCCCCTACCCCTGCATTCTAACCCACTTAACCTAAACATCCCAGGACACTGCAGACAATTAGGCATGGCCAATTCACCTACCCTGCACATCTTTGGACTGTAGGCGGAAACCGAAACACCCAGAGGAAACCCACGCAGACACAGGGAGAATGTGCAAACTCCGCACAGACAGTTGCCCAAGGGTGGAATCAAACCTGAGTCCCTGGTGCTGTGAGGCAGCAGTGCGAACCACTGAGCCACCATGTTATGCTTCATTAATAGGGACATTGAGTATAACAGCAATGTTATGATACTGGACTTGCATAATGTACTAGCTAGACCTCAGCTGGGGCATCATGTACAGTTCTGGGCACCACACTTTATAAAGGGCATGAATTCATTGATGGCAGCACAGAGCAATTTGCAAGAATGATTTCAGGGATGGGAAACTTCAAAGACTGGAGAGGTGGGGCGTTTGTTTTCCTTGGAAAAGAAGTTATGAGGAGATTTGATAGATGTTTTGAAAATTATAAAGGGCCTAGACAGAGTGGATAGGGAGAAACTGTCCTTACTTGTAAAAGGATCAAGATGCAGAAGGCACGGGTTTAAAGTGGTTTGCAAAAGAAGCGAATATGAGGTGAGAAGAAACTTCTTTTTCACACAGCAGGTATCTGAGTGTGAAGGGGGTCAGTTATCTCAGTTGGCTGGCCAGCTGTCTCATGTGCAAAGTGATGCCAGTAGAACATATTCCATTCCCACACTGGTTGAGCTTATCATGAAAGTCCCAGCTTCTCAACCTCACCCCTCTCCCAAGACATGGTGACCCTCAGGTTAAAGTCAGCACCAGTGCCTCTTTCTAATGAGGGAGCAGTCCTCTGGGACTACAACAGCTTGGCCTGGTTAGGGAGTGGAATGATCTCCCTGCAAGTGGGATGAAGGCAGGTTCAAGCTGGTGTTAGATCATTACTTAAATGGAAACAATGCATTACACTAAGGGAAAAGGCAGGAATTGGCACTGAGTCAAAATGTTCAGTGATGAACCAGTGCAGGCATGATGGGCTGAATGGCCTCTTTCTGCACTGTAACAATTCTGTGACTGAAAAAATCTGGGAAGCTTTAACCAAGCCTGCAATCGGAAATGGACATCAGATGCTGGCTTCGCCAATAATTAACAAAACTCACACTTCTGTTTATGAAAACTACTGTGTGAAAGTTTGCTGTTTCTGCAGTAACTGTTCTACATCGTTGACATGTTTTGGCACGAAATTGTGAAAGGCGCTATATAAATGTAATTTTTTTTCATTAAAAATGTCTGAGTTCATTTAATTATTTTATGCTAAATACTCAAGTTTTTTTTTTAACTTCAAACCGTGTACTTAAAATGCAATAAATGACCGGAAATGACAGCTTTAAAGAAGTGAAGGGGCTTCAGAAGTTAAGAGGGAAAGTTTGTGTAAAAGTTTGACGCTGATGCAGTTATGCAGCCGGAGGACAGAAGGGCGGCGGAGGCTTTGCCTCCGGGCTCTGGGTACCTGTCCACGGATCGCTGCCTGGTTGCCGTGCACTTGCTGGCGACCCTGGCCGGCCTCATGGCCCTGCTGTCGGCCGTGCTCCTGTTCCAGTTGCGGTGCCAGCAGCCGGGTGAGCTTCAGTCGCCGGTCCCCGGGGGGCTACCTCGGCGGCTGCTGCGCTCGGTCTCGCAGGGACTGGCATCTCTCTCGGTCTCCCTGCACCTCTGCTGCCTGCTCCTGGCCCTGATGCAAGGCTACCTGGCCGCCGATCTCTGCGGGGGACAACCAGACAGGTAAAAGAAAGATGCCCAGAAGTCAGAACCCTGCCTTTTTAGCTAGAGTTGTGAAGGGGGACGGAGCTGACAAAATCTGGTGTGTTGAGACTGGCTTTGACAAGGTACAGAACAAGCTCAGGCAGTTTTCATATCGTTCTGGGTGGAATCCTAGAATCTGACAACCCAAGAGGAGGCCATTCGTCCCATCCTCGCTGTGCGAGCGCTTCCAAAATCCTCTCAATTGGTGTCCATCCTTTTGCATTTATAGATCTTTTTAAAATTATTTTGTTCAGACGTAACACCTCTGGAGCAGGTGGGACTTGAAGTTATGGCCTTCTGGTGATATTGCGCCGACAATGTTGTAAAAAAAAACCCAAGGAGCTTTACTAGAACTTTATTCAGCAAAATTTGACATCAAACCACATGAGGTAATTGGACAAGTCATAGAGATATACAGCGCGGAGACAGACCCTTCGGTCCAACTTGTCCATGCCGATCAGATATCCCAAATTAATCTAGTCTCATTTGCCAGCATTTGGCCCCTATCCCTCTAAACTTTTCACATACCCATCCAGATGCCTTTAAAATGTTGTAGTTGTACCAGCCTCCACCACCTTCTCTGGCAGCTCATTCCCCACAAAAATGTTTGATCTAAGAAGAAGGTTTTAAGGAGCCTCTTACAGGAGGAGAGGGAGGGAGAGAGGATTTTAGGGAGGGAATTCCAAAGTTTGGGACCTCACCTCGGTTCCAGTGGTGAAGTGATTAAAATAGAGGTTGCCTGTAGGCCAAGTTTTGGGGGACTGATGAGAGCTGGGTGAATTGTCAGGCTGGAGATTACAGTGTTAAGGAGAGACCAGACCATGAAGGGATTTGTAAACAAGGATTTAAAGGTTTAAAATCAAGGTATTGTTTGGGAACCCAGTGTAAGTTGGTGAGCACAGAAGCTCAAAGTGAGAGTTTTGGATTGCCTCAGTTTATGGGGAGAGGGGGTTTAGACTGTGGGAGGTTGGTCAGGAGAGGGTTGAAACAGTTGAGTCCCAAGGTAATAGAAGTAGAGGTGAAGGCTTCAGCAATTTAGAAGCTGAGGTGAGGGAAAAGGCAGGCAATGCAGTCGAGTCAGGAAAAGGTAGTCTCAGCGATGGTTCAAAGTTCATCTCTGGCTCAACTATAACTAAAGTGGCAAGTAGCAATACTTGTGCAAACATGCCCCTGTTTTTATGGTATTGTGCACAGGATTACTGTGGCAGAAAGCCAGAGACTTAGACTGAAAATCCTGAGCGTGTAAATTTGAACGTCAATGTGGCAATGTAAGAATTTGAAGACAGTATAAAGATGAAAAACTGGACCATGAAACAGGTTCATTCATGACTTTCAAAAAGAGAAACAGAAAAAGTAAGCAGCAGGAGAGGCCATTTGGCCCTTTGATCCTCTCTGCCATTCAATAGGATCATGGCTGATCATCCAACTCAGTCCCCTGTTCCCGCTTTCTCCCCATACCCTTTGACCCCTTTAGCTTCTCGTGCTTTATCTAACTCTCTCTTAGAGTCATACAGCATGGAAACAGACCCTTTGGTCCAACTCGTCCATGCCGACCGGATATCCTAAACTAATCTAGTCCCACTTGCCAGCATTTGACCCATATCTCTCTAAACCCTTCCTATTCACGTTCTCATCCGGACGCCTTTTAAATATTGTAATTGTACCAGCCTCCACCACTTCCTCTGACAGCTCGTTCCATACACTCACCTTCCATATTTTGGCCTTGACTGCTTTGTTTGTTGTCGTGAACAAGAATGGCCCACATGACGCCAGTCACACACCAACTTGCTTGACTAGAGGTGGCTGGTTGGCTAAAGTCTGGGCAGCCCACCATAATGTTGGTGCAAGCTCCTGGTGCAGACATCGTGGTAATAATGAAACAAGTTTGCCAGATTCATTAAACCTGGGAATGTTCCACAGTTTTCCCAGCAGTAAACAGGATACAGATTCAGGCTGTGATGTTGGTTGGAGACGGGTTCACTGAGTTTCTTTCCATGCGGATGACATAAGACTAGACCCAAAAAGAACCACTGAACTGTCACAGCACAGAAGGCCATTCAGTCTGTCCTGTCCATGCCAATTGACTGAAAGGGCAACTCCATCGATTCCACTCAGAGATAGTAGGAACTGCAGATGCTGGAGTCAGAGATAACACAGTGTGGAGCTGGAGGAACACAGCAGGCCAGGCAGCATCGGAGGAGCAGGAAAGTTGACGTTTTAGGTCGGGACCCTTCTTCAGATTTCTGAAGAAGGGTCCCAACCTGAAACATCAGCTTTCCTGCTCCACTGATGCTGCCTGGCCTGCTGTGTTCCTCTGTCAATTCCACGGCCTCTTACTCTTTAACCAATCCACTGTCCTAGTCTAGATAAAAGATAAGCCAAGATCACTGAAGTACAATAAAATGAAAACAAGATGCTGGAGATCTGAAAGAAAAACAGGAAAAACTCGGCAGGTCTTGCAGCATCTGGACAGCAAGAGACAGAGCTAATGTTTTGCATCTGATACGAATCTTATGCACACTTGAAACATTAACTCTGTTTCTCTCTCCACAGATGCTGTCAGACCTGCTGAGTTTCTCCAGCAATTTTGGTTTGAACCACTGGAATATAAGTCCTGTTCAGTCCACAGCAGAGTTGCACATAGTTCTGTGAAATCACCTTGAGAAGGCGAGATGTGCTTGGTTCAGTCTGTCTGCAGTATAACTCCAGTGCGGACCGCGCAATGTGGGCTCAGCCCTTGGCTGGGATGAGTCACAGTCCAGGTCAGGTTCTGTTCCTTGGAGAACAACACTCTGTGGCTACTGGGCTGTAGGATGAATACTGCAAATCATAGCAAGGAAACCAGTGGATGTTCAAATCTTTGTCAAGTTTAAAGCTGGTAATATATTGTCCAGTCATTACAGTAACTGCTCAATATTCACGTTCACTGATTTTACCCTCAGTCCTGACTCAAAGGAGTATAAAGTAACTCCTGTGTTTCTGGAGGACAAATATTGAATTATATAGGAAACACAACCTCTAAGTTTTGCACAAGACAATGGCCGGATAATTTTTTTTTGATGATGTTGGTTCAGGGATAAATATTGGCCAAGTCAGTGGGGAGCACTGCCCTGCTTTTTTATGGGAATAGTGACCAGAGAGTCATTTATGCCCAGCTGGGAGAGCAGATAGAATCTAAGTTATTATCTTGTCTAAAAGATGGCATCTCTGCCTCCCCAGGAGTGCGGTGCCTCAGTTATCTGCTTGTCTGTGTTTTTCTCTCTACATCACAAGAGTCAGGGCATGCAAGAACTGAGGCAGCACAGATTGAGCTCGTCTAAAGAACAGGCCGCTTTACTGCTTTTGCTGAGAAACCTAATTCTGTAATCAGTCACAACGCGAGGGAAAGCTCTCAGTTGCGTGAGCAGGGAGTATAATGAGCCATAGTCTTTGTGTGAGCCTTTCTTCAATAGGCAGACCCCCAGGACTGGCCTCTCTAGTAGGGAGCCAGATTGGCCCTGTACAGAGTGAACGTGCCACCTTAAACCTGTCTGCTCTGTGGCCATTGCCAGTTTGCAATAACTGTTTTGAAATGGAATATCAGTGTGTGTGAACTTGCTTCAATCCATCACTTGTTGCTACTCTGCCACTGACTTTGTTTAACAGGAATTCAATTAAAATCGCAGTTTGGTTGGGGGCGGTTTTGGTTTCAGACTGGAAGAGGCAGAGGAAGGAGAAAAAAAAATCAGAAAAAGTATTGGGTGAAAGGGCTCGTCAGGTCACAGTGTAAAGCCATTCCATATAAGAATACTTGACAAAGCTCCTCCTGAGCATTTCTGGAAATGAAGCTGCACTTATAAAACGTCCTCAACATAATGCAGTGTCTTGAGATGTTTCACAGGAGCATTTTCAGTTTCACGCCGAGCCACATAACAAAGCAAAGAATGACGACTTTATATAACGCTTTTCACAATCACTGATCTCTCAAAGTGCTTTACAGCCAGTGAAATACTTTTGACGTGTAGTCAGTGTTGCATTGTAAGAAACACAAGATCCAGTTTATCCACAGCAAGCTTCCAAAAACAGCCATATAACAATAACTGGATAACCTGTTTTCGTGATGTTGACTGCAGGGTAAGTATTTGCCAGGCTTTCAGGAATGCTGTTCTTCAAAACAATGCTATGGGATCCTTTGCATTCAGCTGTGCAGGCAGATGGGACTTCAGGAAAACATTGCACCTGAAGGTTAGCACCTCTGACAGTGCAGCACTTCCCCAGTACTGCACTGGAGAATCAGACAACTTTTTTGCGCTCAATCCCCGAACCAAGACCCATATGACACACAGAGGTGTGTGCTATCCACAGCTGACACCAGAAACAAGATTCCACCACAAGTTGGCTTATAAATAACTACTCAAATATAAGAAAATGAACCTTGAAGAAATTCCTCTCCAATTCATGGAAGTTTTGGGACATGACAATCTAAGCTGCCCAACCAATCCACTAACTCTGCAACAATTTTTGATTCTCAAGAAGTCGCTTACAAAGGTTTGCACTGCTTGCAGTTTTGTCTGGAAGATGCTAAAATCCCTGGTTATTCTTTGCATGTGGGTAAGCAAATGCTTGATGGACCAAACAGCCTTCTGATTCTTCCATTACATTACATTGTCCCATTACAATAGTGTAAAATTCACTGCTACAGTGGTTTCATATTCATTTCCCCTATTAAATAATGATGTGCCTGAAGATATTCACAAAATGTTGACTCCAAAGATTCAAGGAAAAGGTCACATGTAGGAATAGGATGAGGCCATTCAGCCCCTTGAGCCCACACTCATCAAATCAGGGCTGATCTTAACCTCAACTCCATGCACCATCCTTTGCTCCCACATCCCTTGATAATCTGCCTATCAAGAGTTCAGCCTTGAAATTTAAATGGACTTCAGAATCCAGAAATGAAAATCCAGACTTTCGACACACGATTAACCTTGTACAAGACATTCAGTAGATCCATCTCCTTGTTAAGGGGCTGCTATAGATTTCTTCACTTCAACACACCACCCTGGCCCCTGGCCAACATCTGTGTCTCAGGCTTGCTGCAGTGCTCCAGCAAACCTCAAACAGCACCTCATTTTCCTCTTTGGAACTCTACAGCCTTCTGGACTCAATATCGATTTCAACAATTTTAGGACTTGAGGCACCTTCTCCCATGTACTTACCCCAACCCCCACACACATCAGGCCTTATTATCACAGGGGTCCTGACTCAAAATGTCAACTTTCCTGCTCCTCTGTTGCTGCCTGGCCTGCTGTGTTCCTCCAGCTCCACACGGTGTTATCTCTGACTCCAGCATCTGCAGTTCTTACTATCCCTTATTATCACATGGGTCTGCTTTTTCTTTCTGTGCTCTAACCTCCCGTTTTTGTGTGTGTGTAGCTGCAGGACACTGTGAGAAGCACCAGTTGTGTAAAAAGCTTTATTAATACTCCACCACCAGGAAAGCACCCATGTGACCAAAGGACCAGTGACAAGCAAAGGCCTGGTAGGGGCAATATTTACACGAACGAGAAAGTGAGGGGAGACGGTAAGGACTAAATCAAAATAGAATTGGAAGGGGAAATAAGACATCCCAATGCAGGGAAGCTGTTAAGGGCAGTTTCCTTCAGATCAAATTCCATGTTTGTAGTGCCTTCAAAAATAGTACAACACCTTGAGGCACTCCACAAGAACATTATCCAATAAAGTCTGGCATTGAGCCATTTAGGAAAACATAGAAGTAGGCTGTGAAAAGCTTCTTCAATGAGGGATAAGGGAAGGTAGGTTAAGGAGGAGATTCCAGAGCTCAGGACCTTGGCAGTTTAAGGTAGTGTCACCACTAATGAAGAGAGTAAAACTGGGGAAGTGTAAGCAGCTGGAGTTGGTCTGGTTAGGATATCTCAGAGTGCTGACGGATTTAAGGAGACCACAGAAACTGAGAAGGGCAGGGTCGCAGAGGAATATAAAAGAAAATAAGATCAGGAACTTTGTAGCAGACACACTACTGTAAGTATTACTTGTGTAAAACTGTATATAATTGCTTTCAGTGAGTATTCTGACCGTGACTCTGTTTCTCCTGTTCCAGACCTGACTGGATTCTCTTGAATAGCCGCCCTTCCCGCCATGTGGCCCTCAGTGCGTTCTGTCTGGGTGTTATCGTATATCTGGCAGGTACGTTGTGAAACAACAAACTCCCCCAAACACTCCTGCACACAACAACTGAGATGTCACCTTGGCTCTATTTCGAATGAGACACTAGGCTAAGAGCCACTTGGGGAGATGTGAAAGATTAGACTGCACCATTTTGAAGACAAGCAGGGGGAGTTCTCCACATTGTCCTGCATCAATATTTACCTCCTCACCCCCTCTTCCCCATAAACAATTGCTCATCTGGTCATTATACCATCGCTGTTTGTGGGAACTTGCTGTACACAAATGATCTGCTGCATTTCCTACATTATAACAATGACTATACTTCAAAAAGTAACTAACTAGCTGTAAAGCATCTTGCAATGTCCTGAGATCATTATAGAAACACGAGTCTTTCTCAAGTGGGTAGCTCCCTCCTTTGGAGTCTGTAGGGCCAGAGGTTCAATCCCCATGCCAGGGTCTTCAACACAACGCAAGCTGACACTGCCCAGCGCAGTACTGAGGGATTGCTGCATTATCAGAGGTACCACCTTTTGTCAGGGACGTTAAACCGATGCTCTGTTTCCACATGTGACCAGAGGGAACAGATCCTATGGTACTATTTTTGAAGAACAGAGCATTCCTGGACAATACACAACCTTCATTTTTGCCACTATCAGAACAATGAGCGAACTGTTCATTAGTATTTTATGGGATCTTGCTGTGTCATGTTTCCTGTACAGGGGTGGCTATATTTCAGTCATCAGGTGTTCAGCACCGTGCCATGTCCAAAAAAAAATGTAGAAGGCACTATATATCAGCAAGTACTTCCTTTCAAAACCACTGGCAACCACATCACCCATTCTCATACCTCAGGCAATTGGCCATTTGTCCTGCCTGAGACTAGACTGTGAGGTTCAGCAGCCTGTTAGACCAGTGGAGGTGGGAGTGTCTGGAGAAGTGGGATTACAATCAGTCCCAGTTCACTGTTTGCCAGGTTGTTGACCTGTGGTCACTAACAGGACTCTCAGTATTGTCCATACCTGGAGAATAAAAGGGGAGTTTATCTAGTAAACAATCAGATGGCCTCACCCATTTCCTCTTGCTCTCCAACTCCAATCCGAAAACAACTTCCAGCAAGTAATTAGGAGTCACCTTAGGGTGTTGAACCCTGCAGCACCTTAGGCTGCCCAGTGCACTTGGTTAGTTCAGGGTCAGAGAATCCTACTGATGTTCTAAGTAAAAACCAAAAGAACTGCTGATGCTGGAAATCAGGAGTAAAAACAGAAATTGATGGAAAAGCTCAGCAAGTCTGGCAGCATCTGTGGAGAGAAATCAGAGTTAATGTTTCGAGTGCAATGACTCTTCTTCAGAACAGATGGTAGCTAGGAAAATTTTTTTTAATGCAGAAGATAGGGTGGGTGGGTGGGGGGAGGGGTGTAAGGAGTAAATGATAAGTGGAGGTAGAGCCCAAAGAGAGAGAAGAACAGTTGGACAGTCAAAGGAGTGGATAACGATCAGCCTAGGAGAATGAATAGCTGCTAATGGGGACTATTAGTGGCTAACGATGGGTTGTGTGTAATAGCAGATCATGTGATAACAAGGCCTGGTATGTGGGGCTTGGGGTAAGGACATGGGAAAAGGTGCCTCAAGCCCTAAAAGTGTTGAACTCGATAGAGTCCAGAAGGCTGTAGAGTTCCCAAGCGGAAATGAGATGCTGTTCACTTTGGTACTTAGCACCGAAACTAGCACCTCAGCAGGTACAGGCAAATAGTGAGAGTCGCCCCACAACCTGCCACTCTGTGACATAATATCTCAATATCCCAACGACTGCAGCAGTTCAAGACGACAGCTCACCTCCACCTTCTGTAGGGCAACTGGGGATGTGCAATAAAAGCTGACCTTGCCAAGGGCACCCACATCCCATGAAAAAGTTAATAAAAATAATTATCCTGAAAGACTGAACAGGCTTGGACTCTTTCCTGTAGAGATGGTGGACGGGTAACCTAATAGGGAAATATAGAGAAAATATTTCTGTTTGAGAAGGAAACCAGAGCTACACAAATAAAAGTCTCCAACAAATTGGGTGGTATAGTGGTTAGCACTTGTGGCTTCAATGCGCCAGGAACCCAGGTTCGATTCCAGCCTTGGGTGAGTGTGGAGTTTGCATGTTCTCCCTGTATCTGTGCTGGTTTCCTCCGGGTACTCCAGTTTCCTCCCAAAGTCCAAAGATGTGCAGGTGAAATGGACAGGCCATGATAAAAACCCTATACGCAAGGTTAGGGGGCTGGGCTGGAGTGGGAGGTTGGGATGCTCTTCGGAGGGTTGGTGCAGACTCAATGGGCCAAATGGCCTCTTTCTGCACTGTAGGGATACTATGAAATTCAGGATAAGCTTCTTTCAATAGAGACTGTGGAACTCACTACCAAAGGGAATGATCAACATGGGCAGAATTGATGCATGGAGAAGTTGGATAAACACAAGAGGGCCAGGGATGGGAGACAGTGATAGAGTGATAAAAGGGAGGGAGAAGACTCCTGTGGAGCATAAACATTTGCAGATACCCAATGGACTGAATGGCCTCTTCCTGTTATGTAACATCCAATGTAATGCAATGTAAGCTAGTGCAGGGTTACAGGGAATTGGAGGAGCACGACCTGGACTAAAGTATGCAATGGGGTTACCAACCTGTAACAAAGAGATAGAAAACCAAAGCAGTTTGACCTGTCTTGCTCTCTCTCTCCATCCATTTATTTATTACTGAAACATGCACAGGGTGCTTCAGTCAAGGCAAACCCATACAAGAAGTGACAAACACCTTTCCTCGATCAGCTTCTTCCCTCAACAGTCTCTGTATCCTGAGATTGGAAGTGAGGATATTTTAGCAAAGGAACTGGATAATTTTGTACAGGAAACAGACCTGTGCCTTCCTGGTGCCACAGAGAGGGAGTAGATAGCCAGGACGATAAAGGGAGCAGATTTCCTTCATACAGTAACTTAAATTAGTTCTCCATTCTCTTAGCACAAGCGTTTTTGAGGGAACGGAGAGACAGACCATTCGGAAATCATATCAATTAACTTCTCCACATCAGCTTCAGTGCTGTTGTAAACTGCCGACAGGAAGAACGAGAAGCTGTTTCTTTGTAAAAGCTGCATTCGGCAAAGTAAAAAGGTATCTTATGCTTGTGAAAATACACATACAAACACACCCACGCGTAGATACACCAGTGCCGTTAACTGTCCAACTCTTTCAGAACCTTATTCCATCTGATCCCTTTTCTTCGCATGACCCAGAACGAGCTTGGCGACCAGTGTTCACTGAATACACCATCCAACACTGCAGAGAAACCAAACCAAACATCAGCCATGTTAGTGTCAGACTCAGTGGGAAAACGATCTTGTTGGGTAAACGTTGACCCTAAAAACCAGAGGGCACAAGTTGACGATTAACTCTTTCAAAAGAAAAGTTAAATACAGCAAACTTTGTTTTAACTGGTACTTTATGAACCAGCATTCTTAATAAACCGGTAAAAATTATATACCTCAAATACCAGAAGTTTCTGTATTATCACGATCTCCACGATGTCAGATCAGTCAGTCAAAGGTGTGAGTGAGAAGGCTCTCTGCTGATAAGTTTTATTTAAGGCAAAGTTGCATTATTATTTAAGTGATTTATACTGTAAACAAAATATAACAGTGATGTATATACCCCATGCATTACGTTTCTATTACTTAATGTGTGTTTTTACGTTGATTATGTGGCCGTCTTGATTAACTGGTACACTTCTGGTCCGATTAATAAAAAGTTTGCTGTAATTAAAAAGTGAAACCATTTAAGGCTCTGAGGAAAGGGAGGGCAGGAAGGATCTTGGTTTGACATCTCATTCCAAAGGTCAGCACCTCTGACAGTGCAGCATTTCCTTGTGGGGGCCATTTCAATCTGGATCAAGTGCACACAGTTCCAAAGTATTAAACTCACAACCTTCCAGTCAGCGCACTGACAAATCACTGCTGACCCCTGTAAGTGATGGACACTTTGAAATGGCATTTTGATCTAAAGCTGTACAAAGAGAAGTGTCTGAGAGCAAACACCAAATCTGAACAGCAGTTTTGAAACTAGGGTTGGTCTTCCTGTTTCAAGATACAGGCAAGACAACGGAACCATAGAACACAAAATTGAAAGTAATCCCTTCAATTGACATAACCTGACAGGAGCAATGGTTGAAATTCTCATAAGGTCAAACAGTAGCAAATATATGGGGAAATGCTTTGGAACCTTAAAAATATAGCTAAGCATCCTGGGCAAAATGAGTTTGTCTAGCCTCAGACCAGATCCTCTTTAACAGGATTCCAGTATGTGGAGCAAGAGGAGGCCATTCAGCCCCTTGAGCTAGTTCTGCCATTCAAGTGGTTGGGAGGTCATGTTGCAGCTGTACAGGATATCAGCAAGGCCACTTTTAGAATACTGCATACATTTCTGGTCCCCTTGCTATAAGAAAAATTTTGTTAAACTTGAGAGTGTGCAGAAAACATCTACTCAGATGTTGCCCAGACTGGAGGATTTGGGCTATAAAGAGATGCTGAATAGGCTGGGGCTTTTCTCCCTGGAGTGTCAGAGACTGAGAGGTGGCCTTAAAGAGGTTTATAAAATCATGAGGGGCATGGAAAGGTGGAATAGCCAACATCTTTTCCACCCAGGATAGGGGAATCCAAAACTAGAGGGCATAGGTTTAAGGTGAGAGGGGAAAGATTTAAAAAGGACCTGATGGGTAACTTTTTCACGCAGAGGGTGGTACGTGTATGGAACGAGCTGCCAGAGGAAGTGGCGGAGGCTGTTGCAACTTTTAAAAGGCATCTGGATGGCTACATGATTAGGAAGGGTTTAGAAGGATATGGTCCAAACGCTGGCAAATGGGACTAGGTCACATTGGGACGTCTTGTTGGTGCAGATGAATTGGATCAAAGGGTCAGTTTCCGTGCTGTATGACTCTAAGTAGTTCATAGCTGATCTGTCTCTCAACTCCATCGACCCGTCTTGGATTTATACTCCTTCAAACTCTTCACCAAGCAAAAGCTTTCAATCTCAATTTGAACCACATAATCGGTTCCCAGCATCTACAGCAATTTGGAGGGGACAGAGTTTCACATCGCACTAACCTGTATGTGCAGTGTTTCCTGATATCATCCTTTGTACCAGGCTCCCCCATGAGACAAAATTATTTCTCTAATGAGCCTATCAACTTTTAAACCATCTTGAACATTACAATTTGATTACCCCATAATCTATCATATTCAAGAAAACACCGGGCTAATCAGTGCAACCTTTTCTCATAATTTAACTATTTGTGCCCCAGTTTCATTCTGGTCAGAGTGCAATCCCACCAAGCTATAATGAGATGCAGTGCTCAAACTGGATCGTAATGTGAATATGCCTCTGTCTCATACTGCTAAGAGCTTTAATCCTATGTAGCTGTTATGATCATCTCCCAGGAGCCAAACGAGGATCCCTTCTGTGGCTGGGCTGGGAGTTTTACTCTATCCAACCCTGAGCTGCACCTGTCATGAGAGTATTTGATGGGGACAATGTCAGGGGAGCTTTACTTGCAGATTATTTTGAGTTTAAAAGTGTTTTTGTACCCTGAATTTAACCCAGTGCTGTCCCTGTCCAGTGAGTGTTTGATGAGGACAGTGTAGAGGCAGCTTTACTCTGTAACTAGCCCTGAGCTGTAACTGTTCTCAAAGTGTTTGATGGGCCAGCATAAAGGGAACTTTACTCTGTACCTAACCCTGTACCATAACTGGTCTCAGTATCTCAGATGTTGACCTTAGGTAGACTCAAAAAGCAATGAACTGAAAGGAGCAGCTCCTGGATTTTGCCAGGTTGCAGTCCTAAAGCTCAGAGATTTGGGCTGTACCTTATTGTCAGGTCTGTGGGATTTTACATGGAGATTCCTGTGCTTTCTTTTCCAGCTTTCTCCATTTACGTGTTGTTGGAGTTTGAGAAGGAGAGTGCAATGGCGAGTGCTGGAGTCCTTGCCGCTGGGGTGTTGGTGCTCTTCATCATCATCATCCACGCTGTGGTGAAGGCTCGGTGCACTAACAGGAGCCGACTCCCAGAGCACAGCACCACCATGTTCGAGAATAACCGCGCTCCGAGAGGTGGCTGGCCAGAGCCGGAGCGTTCGGATCCCCGGGCCGAGGACGAGGAGGATGAGGAGTCGCGTTTGCCTGCCTTTCGCAGGGAGACAGCCTACGAACGCTACCGTGAGCAGAAAGCCTTTTACGTGGCCACGTCGGCAAGCCGAGCTGGAGCCACACCAACTGGACGGGACGGGTATGGGCACTCCCGGGCGCTTTCAGCGGGACGCAGCATGCCTTGCACTGGACCCTGGGACGGGGTGACACATGAAATGAGGCGGGTACTGGCACACAAGGGGACCGTCTGCCGGAAAGACTCGACACTAGTCTGAGCTCGGTGTCAACCAGCAGAGATCAGACTGGTGTGGCGATTGGCAACACTGGCGCAGATCCCACAGAAGCATGCATGACCCCTTTAGCGAAGACTTCTTAAACCTATTTCCTCCTCTGCTCCCCTACAACCTCACTGTTCAGGTCGGAGAGAGATTTTGGCTTTGGCGTTGCAGGGTTCAGGCAGGGTAGGCAACAGGGTATTTGGCATGTCAGTCGATGAACCAAACATGGAGGAAAGGAGCAGAAGGAGAAGGATGTAGGGAGAATCAGAATCAAACAAAGTTCAGAAGAGAAATAAAGAGAGGGACATGATGATTGGATTAAGAAAAGGTTTGAAAGGAAATGTATACAAAAAAACTTCAAAATCTTTTAACAATTTACTAAAGGAATGAGAAACTGGAGATTTAACTATTCTCTTCCAGGGCAGGAGAAGGTGAGCAAGAATGTAAACTTCCTCATTAAAACGTTACTTAACACTTAAGTTGCAATTCTGATTTTCTATATTGAGCTTAATTCATGCACAAAATGCAGCAATTTCACAAAACTCAGGGTGAAATTACAAGCAAGCTGCTGTTTACACGTGGCTAATGGGGGGGCAGGGGTTACTGCGTACAGTCCAGCAGCTTATGGTCATGAACAATTCACAGGGTATCACTCCCTCTCCATAACCGTTGAGAAGTGTCAGCCCCTTGAAACTATTTTGGCAGCAAATTCTAGGCCAATTACAGAGAGCCAGGAGTCCCACCTTCATGAGGTAAAGAAACAGTACAAAAGCTGTCAAAAAGCACCAGGCACAAGTGGAAATGTTTACTGTATTTTATTTACTGACCAGGGCAATTTTTGTTTTGCTTAAAATGACAGGTAGAATTAATCAAATGAGGAGAAGTGTGTCTTAATGGCAGTCAGTTTTAACCTAAAAATATATATTTTGCAGATGTACATATATATTTTTAACTAATCCTTTTTCCACGTTGCAATGTAAGGGTTACTAAAAAAAAAAGTGGCAGCAGTCCTAGACAACTTTTCATTTGCATTCAAATCCTACAAGGTGCCATCAAGCTGCTTGACACTGAAAGGCATCACATTTGATCCCTACTCCAGCTGATGAGCCGCAGGGAAAACTTCTATGGATTTTACTACCCCACCTTCTATCCCTGCGCCTCTTTTGAAGGAACCTGCCTCAGCAAGAGTCACCAATTTCCTTGTAACTATCCCCCATCCATCAAACGGCAGCCTCTGAACAAGCACAGGTTCAGCACAAGCCAGGGTCACTGCTCAGCTGGGACCTCAGTCTAAACCTGCTTACACACATGTGGAGAAGAACAAACAATGCTGCACATTACTAAGGGATGGGCCTCTACAGACTAAATGGTGGACTAATTACCTCAAGCTCAGCAAACAAGGTGGTTTCCAGGATTTGACATTTGCTAAATATATAAATAAAGAAGTCCTTGATTTGGAATGCCCACAAATGCAGAATCATGTCAAGTTATTTGTGCTAGTCATAGAAGCCCTTAGCAACCCCAGAACAAACAAGCGGAAGTTTTGAGCTGAGCTGTGATGCCTCCACAGTCAAACAGCCTACCAATGTTCACTGCCAAAGATGACATCCAGATCCAGGGCAATTGGGTGGGACACTCCATCTCCTGCAGCATCGCAATCCTGCTCAATCCGCTCCTTCTCTGAACAATAGCTAGGACACACACCTTTCAGTGGAAGTGTGGGGAGGGCATGTCATGTCAACAGCAGCTCTGAAGGCTCTGAGACCAAATGTGCTGCTCCTCTCCAAGTGCGATCTAAACTCTTCACGTCAGCCTTGATGCAGCCTAGGAAACCTCTTTATTGATCTGGTCCAGTTCTGAGGCAGGTGGTGAGCCCACTACTCAAGTTGATGGAATCCAAATGAAGGGATTCATTGTCACTTAAACACACTCCTGACCTTGCCCATCCGGTTAAGTGAAAAAATCAGGTGCTCTGGAGGTGGAGTCGGGATTGAGGGAGGTATCAGGAAGGGTTGAAGAAGAATAAATGACTGCCTCGAGCTCACCTAACTTTGTAAGGCTGGGAATGATGTTCACGCCACTCATTCTCTTCAAGCTCAGGGCATGCTCACATCACTTTCTGTAATGGATTACAAAATAAGTCATTTGGTAACTCTTGTCCAATCAGGGGAAAAAAATACTATGCAAGCCCAGTTGCAATCAGCATTATTTTCACTTGTTGCCTCCACAATAAAGAAGGAAAGAAACTAATGCTTAGCTACACAAGTTAAAAGGAAGAGAGACTGACTCCTTAACCAATCAGCAAGAACCAGCAGTCTTGGCAACGAGGGTCTGGATCTGTTAGGCCCCAGTTCTGTTTATCGCCATCCTGACCAGGTTATTGCTCAGAAGGATTGATGGCTGTTTAATGCCGTATCACCAGACTGAATCCACTTTGCAGTGACCAGTTATATCACAGAGGGAGGCTATTCAGCAACTGAATCCATACTGGCTGTCTGTAGACCAATTCAGACTCTCCCATTCCCTTACTCTACCTCAGCAGCCCTGCGTGTTTATTCTCTTCAAGTGCCAATGCAATTTCCTTTTGAAGTTATTGATTGTCACCACTTCCACCAACCTAGTCAGCACCCCCCACACCCCCTTCATTCAGCACTGGGTCATCATTGTTCAATCTGATTGGTCTCTATCACTTTTACACCTGACATTCTCAGAGTGCTTTATCAATACCACCTGGAGGGCCCATTCTGACCTCTCCACGTGCAACACTGCTCTGATCTCTAACTTGCCATCTCTGGCTTAATCCCAACTATTCCATCTCTTTTCTCTGTTTTATTGCTAGTCTCCTCTCTGAAGTTTTAAATGCCACATCCCTCACAATCTCCCAGGGGTGGCCAATGCTCCAGCATTGTCCCCAGAGTCTCCAGCTATCAAAAGGTTGATTTCCAGAGCTCTGCTGCGAGCACCTCTAGGAGAATAAACATAGGGCTTTAAGATAAAGGTGATTTCTTTTCCCCTTTTGTTTGAACATTATTCGTTATAAGAACGTTGGAAGACGGATCAAAGATAACATTCAAGGGCACAAGTTCAAAGCTTGTTTGCTTTCCAATGGCCTTGGAAGGAGGTAGAGAAGGCAACAGCCTAGTGGCATTATCATGAGACTATTAATCCAGAGACCCAGCTAATGTTCTGGGGACCATGGCAGATGGTGGAATTTGAATTCAGTAAAAATCTGGAATTAAGACTCTAATGATGATCATGAAACTGTTGTCGATTGTTGCAAAAACCCACCTGTTGGCTAATGTCCTTTAAGGAAGGAAACTGCCATCCTTACCTGGTCTCGCCTACATTGTGACTCCAGACCTACAGCAATGAGGCTGATTCTGAACTGCCCCCCTGGGCAATTAGGGACGGACAATAAATGCTGGTCTAGCCAGTGATACCCACATCCCATGAATGAATAAACAAATAGAAGTATGCAGATGCTGAGCAATCATCCTTGGCACTGTGAGGGTGGGGGGTGTGTGGGTGTGTGGGGTCATATATCTGATGCTACCGTTCCTAGAGACTTTGTCACAGGAATCGTAACCCTGAAGTCTGGACTAAATATCAGTGATGCAAGTTCAGATCCCACCACATCAACTGGAAAATTTAAAACTTAATGAATTAAATAAACTGGAATAAGACAGTAAGAAACTACTGACGCATGACCCCAACTGGTACACTAATGTCCTTTAGGGAAGGAAATCTGCCATCCTTACCTGGTCCAGCCTACACATGACTCCAGAAAGACAGCAATGTGATTGATTCTTTAGTGCCCTCTGAAATAAGCTAGATAGACCTGGCAACTATGTACAGGCAATAAATATTGGTCTAGTCAATGACACCCACGTCCCGAGTGAATAATAAAAAAACACTCAGTTGTCAAATGAACATGTAACTCTGGAACAGGTGTAGGCCATTCGGTCCCATGAGTCTACTCCACTACCCAACGATAGCACAGCTGACCTACCCACGATGGGAACACCACCACTTGCAAATTCCTCTCTAAGCCACTCACCAACCTGTCTTGGAAATATACTGCTGTTCCTTTAATGTTGCTGGGTTAAAATCCGGAATTCCCTCCTAACGGTATTGTAGGGCTACCTATAGCACGTGAACTGCAGTGGTTCAAGAAGGCAGCTCACCACTACCTGCTCAAGGGATGAGCAATAAATGCTGGCCAGCCAGCAATGCCCTCAGCCCACGAGTGAATAAAAAAACTTTTCACCTCCTTGCTTATCAATAATCTATCTACCTCAGTCTTAATAATATTCAGAAGTTTTGCTCTCACCATCTTTTGAGGAAGACAGCTCCAAAGACTCATCATTCTCTGTGGAAAGAAACAGTCTCCTTATCCCAGTCTTAAATGGACAATTCTTGTTGCTTGAAACGATAGTCTTGAATTCTAGGTTCTCCCGTAATGTATCATGTCAACAAATGCTGAACATCACAGTGGGTCAGGCAGCATTTATATAATCCAATCAAGTAGCCTCTTACTCTTATATACTGCCACAAACATAAGCTAACTGTTCAACTCATAAGACGAGCCCTAATTCCAGGTACTACTCTGGTAAACCTTCTGTGATTTGCTTCCAACACATTTACATCTTCCTTAAGTAAGGAAAAACTAAACTGTACAAGTATTCCCGATGTGGTCTCACCAATGCCCTGCATAAGCACAGAATAACCTTTCTTCTTCTGTATTCACTTTCCCTCCCTTATATTCTTATTAACTTTCCTAATTAGTTGCTACATTTTTTACAATTCATGCACGAGAATGCCCAGATCCTTCCGCATCTCAAGAGTTCTGCAATTTCAGGAAATGGCTCACCAAAACCTTCTCAAGGTAAATTAGTGATGGGCATTAATATTTGCAGCAACATTCCCATACCACGAATGAACAAAGCTAATACATTCAATAGAGTTGCAACCCTAAATAATGGAGATTGACACCAACAGTATGGGTTGAATTCCCACACCTGCTGAGGTTACCATGAAAGACTCTACCCTCACCAGAGGCATGATGACCCTCAAGTTAAACCACCACAAGTCATTTCTCTCTCTCTCTCTAATGAGAGAGCAGCCCAATGGTCTGGTAGACTATGATGATCTTACCTTACCTTTAACCCTAAACTCACCTTGCATTCCAACAGAGAATCATCACTCTTAATACATTCTCTCTCCTAGGACCTCAAAGCTCGCAAATCCTCACCTTCCTTCGTCTTGAGTTTGTTCTGCTTATGAGGAAAGGTGGAGACTGTACTTCATAGAGGTTGGCAGAATGAGAGGCAATCTTATAGAAACATAAGATTCTGACAGAGCTTGAAAGGATGGATACTCAGACATGCTCTCTTCATTGAAGAATTTAGAAGGTGGGGGGGCACAGTTTCTAAATAAGAGGAGAGATTTCTTTTCTCAGGAGATTGACAGTGTTTGGAATTCTCTCCCCCTATGAGAAATGGAGGCTGTGTCATTGAACGTGGTCAAGGCTGAGTTAGACAGGTGTTTGATCAAGGAGTCAGTGTTACAAGGGCAGGCAAGACGGACAAGAAAATCAAAAGTTATGGGGGTGGGGGCATGAAGGCCACAATTTGATCAGGCAAGACCTTACTGAATGGCAGAACAGGCTTGATAGGCCAAGTGCCCTACTCCTGCTCCTTTTTCTTACATCCATCTTCCTATCTGTGAATCTTTGAAATCTGAGCTTGATCTCACTTACTCCCGATAGACCTCATACTCCTCATCTATCCCATGTGACATACTGATTTGCAGTTTAACAATGCAACAGTGTCGGGCTCAAATGCTCAAGATGTTTAAAATACTTTAAAAATCCTTGTTAGGAATATGGTGTCGCCCTTGCTCTTGCACCAACACTACAGATCAGAGGAGTGTGTGGGAGTGGATTAAACAGTTTCGGGAGGAAGGAAAATGGAGAGAAAAATATAACTCTTGACACATCAACAGAGCTCCCAACCTTGAGTTAATTTTCATTCCAGTGGTAATAAAGCCAAAACCTTGAAGTATAAACAAATCGACTGGGGTTTCAGATATTGCTTTCAACTTTGGACTGCCGCTAATCCTTCTTTTAACTGGGTCTGATACAAATTATAAGCAAAGACATACTTATTATGATTGAATTATTTTAGCAGATTGCTCAAAAATGGTGGCAGGTTGGAAGGTCTGCATTTGTCAAGCATTCATCAAGATTCAACTGTACTTGAAGCTGCATAGGCCTCAAGCCTGGCATTAGATTTTGGTTGAGCTCCCAGTTTCAGCAATACTAACCTGGAAAGGAAGGGGCGCACGCTTGGCTCTGCACTCAGGAAGAAGAGAAGGAGGGAGGTTCAGGAACTGCCTGTGTAACAACGGAACTGTAACAGACACTCACATCACTAAAGCTGCATGCAGTGGTGGGGAGAAAGAAAACAAAATGCCATATTGCAACAAAAATACTGGAGTACTGAGGGTGCATTTTAACATCAAGCAATTTAAATGAAGTTACAAAACAGGGGACTAACTTAGTCCTGCCACACATACAAGCTTAATCAGTCCTTCAGATTCTGAAAATCTAACATCTGACAAATGCTTAGGAATGAGATAGATTTCTTTCAGGTAATAATATTTTGTGACTCTGTGGAAGTAATTTAAAATACAAGGTGCAATGAGTGTAGCGTGCTCGGGAATAAAATGGTGACAGCCCCAATGGCTTGCTTCAGGTTACCCTGAAGGACTCCCCTTCTCAACCTCTCCCCTTTCCTGAGGAGTGGTGACCCTTAAGTTAAATTACCACCAGTCATCTCTCTCTAATGAGAGAGCAGGACTATGGTCCTGTAAGACTATGACCACTTTTGCCACTACCAAGGGTATACCTCAGGGCACAACCATAATAGCTGCATGAATAGACCCTGAGAAATAGCAGCAGAAGTAGGCCATTCAGCCCATTCTGTCTGCACCATCATTCAGCAAGGTCATAATAATCCTCACCTACACTGTCCTGCCTCTTGCTCACAGCCCTCAATAACCCTTCAATGGGAATGACAGCAGGTCATAAAGCCCCTCAAACCATTTAATAAGATTATAGCTCACACTTCATTTCACACTCCTGCTGTAGTACCAAACAATTCATTCCCTCAGAATCTGAAACCTATGCATCCATCTCACTCTTGAACATACTCAATGATGGAGCATCAAAAACTCTCTGCGGTAGAGAATTCCAGAGATTCACGATCCCCTGAAGGAGAAAACGTTTCCTCATCTCTATTCCGAGTGTCCCAATCCTTAACCTGAAAATTGACCTCTTAGGTCTAGACTCTTGGGAGGGGGAGGGAACAGCCTCAGGCCATCTACCCTATCAAACCAAAATAAGAATTTTCCACATTTCAATAAAATCACATCTTAATCTTCTAACCTCCAGAAAAGACTGATTCATTCTATCCAGTCTCTTGATCTGTCATAGTCTCATTAATAAAAGAGTGATTCCCACAATTAGTCAATTATCATTTTGGAGTACTGCATGCAGTCCCGGTTGCCCCACTATAGAAAGGTTATTATTAAACTAGAAAAGGGTGCAGAAAAGATTTTCCAGGATGCTGCCTAGACTGGGAGGTTTGAGTCATAAGGAGAGGTTGGATAAGCTGGGACCTGTTTTTTTTTTTTACAGGAAAGTAGGAAACTGAGGGGTGACCTTGTAGAGGTCTATAAAATCATGAGGTAGATAGCCAACAGCTTTTCCCTGTGGGAGGGGAGTCTAAAAGTAGAGGGCTTGGGTTTAAAGTGAGAGGGGAAGAGATACAAAAGGGTCCAGAGGGGCAATTTCTTCCTCACTGAGGGTGGTTTGTGTCTGCAACAGGCTGCCAGAGGTAGGGGCGGAAGAGAGTACAATTTTGTCATTTAAGAAACATTTAGACAGGTACATGGATGGAATAGGTATGGAGGGATATTGACCAAACACAGGCAAATGGGACTAGTTTAAATTTTGAAAACTGGGCAGCATGGACAAGTTGGGCCAAAGGGCCTGTTTCCATGCAGTAGACCTCTATGACTCTATCAGCCAGAATTTCTGCTTCATCGTTGTTCAGTAACTTTCTGTAGCAAAGTGCAGTGGACGTTGAGGGAGGATAAGACAGCACTCTGAATCTCTCTGTG